TGATGCTGCCTTGTATTGTGCGTACCACCAGCAAACTGGTCATGCTACTGACAATTGTTTTCGCCTCCGTCATGAGGTGAAAGACTTGATCGACAACGAAGTTATCCTCCCGCCCACCTCAGCCAAGTCCGTTACTACCCAGTTATTAGATTTTGAGGATACTGATACTGCGAGTATGTAATCAGGAAGTGAACCACCTGTGGGCGGCACTCGGCGTATTTTGGATGTGGCGTCTGGCACGCATTTTTGGAGCATCTGCGAATGCTAGTTTTATAAATTCTGGTTTGGGTGTCGAGTCAGTCTTTTGTTTTGTTTTGAGTCTGTCTCATTCTTGAGTCATCCTTTTTGCTTTATGGTTCTGTCTTGTTGGTTAGCGAGGTCGGTCCCCTCTAACATAGAATGTCGTGTGATTCCGGAGCCTGTTGCCCGAACACTGTTTTGTTTTGTAATTACCCTTTTGCTTTCTTTTGAGTCTATCTCTGTCGTGGAGCCAGTTACAACCAGGGAATCTGAATGAAACAGCTGCGGCTATCATGTTTTCATGCTTACTACTATTCTGAATTAGTTGTGCCAAGGGACTTGAATGGAACAGCAGTACATTCCACCTGTTCTCTTGTGCCCTGAAAATCATTGCATTGACCTAAGTTTTTCAAAACTTTTTGAACACTGCGGTGAAAACAAAGAGGAAGGAATTCCTCAGGTTTTGCAAACTTTGATCAAATTGAGAGAAAGAGAGGCGTGCTAAGCCCTTAATGATTGAAATCATGCTTGTCAGCGTGAGTACTGAGAAGGACCCTGGCTTGATCCAGACTGGTTCCACACTATCTTCAGCGCGAGCGATTTGTCGCTTCTTTAAAAACTTTCAAAAACAAAATGTTTTGCGCGGTCTTGCGAAGACCTGTGTGGAATCACTCTTGAGATTGTGCAGCTTAGGATCGCTCTCAGCCTCAAGACTCGAGCCCTTGTTTTAAAGCCTTGAACCACAATTCGCAGTGTTCAACAATCGACCATCAAGAGAGGCCTGTGTGGCCAGATTGGAAGTAGCCTTCGAACAAGAGGCACCAAAGTGAGATCAAGAAGATCAGATCTCATCAAGAGAAGCCTGTAAAGCTAGAACAGAAGCACCTCTCCAAACTAGGGGCAAAAATGTCCGATTTGCTCGAAGAGCCGAAGATGGGTCCTTCAGTAAGTCAATGTAGCAGCCACTCTCCTGGATACGGCTGGCTTCAAAACCCTAAAACCATTTGGCATGGACTTGTTACACTTTTACCCTTTGAGCGACTCGCTGGGCCGAAAACTCGGAAGGGCGACCCAGGCAAAAGTTAGAGCAAAAGAAAATATATACAAAAAAAAAGAAAAGAAAAAATATACAAAAGAGAGGAAAAAAGAGAAAAAATATACAAAAGAGAGAAAAATACAAAAAAGAAAAAAATAAAATATACAAAAGAGAGAAAAAAAGAAAAGGAAAGAAAAGCTCGCAAGGTCGAAAACCCGCATCGGGCGCCTTGGCAAAAGTTAGAGCCTAAAAAGTGAAGGTTAAAATACCCGAGTGTACCTTAATCGGAACTACGTAAGGCTTGATTCCCATGTTTGGGATACGTAGGCAACTTCGTCCTGAAGTCCAGCCTCCAACGCTCTCATAGCGCCTCAGTCCATGTAATGGTTTTGATTATTCTTGCCCTCCCCGAACCCGATAGTTCGGTTGTGACAACCGGATACGTAGGCAACTTCATCCCGAAGTCCAGCCCCCAACACCTTTAAAGTGACTGTGTCCATATATTGGTTTTGACCATCTTCGTCTTTTCTGTATCCGAGAAAGTTTGGTCGTGATCATCACTAGTGAAGACTGTTTACCAAATGCTGCGGCGTCATCCAAACAAGGGGCAACTTTCCGTTGCCATGAGTTGCCACGAGTCATCTTTTAAACCAGGGGCAACTTTCCGTTGCCATCCACCCCTTCTAAGCCAGGGGCAATTTTCCATTGCCTCCGATCAGAGGTTGCGCATCTCGAGGGTAAGCTCTGTGCTTGTTTAGCACCAGCCGTTTGCAAAAATAGTTTTTGAAAGTTTTTACTGAGGTTGACTATTTTCTCGAAAACTATTTCATTTTCCAAAATCGGACCTTTCTTTTGGACCCAAAAAAAAAAAAGGGAAAATTTTCAGTGCTTACAGCCAGACTTGCGTGATTTTTGAATCAAAAAGTGAACAAGTATGTTAATTCGACTCTCATTTTGGTCAAAACTGTTTTAGGAAGAAAACAAAAAATGGTCAAAATGATGAACTAGGGGCACAGTTGAGTCAGGTGTTCTGTCTTTCCCCGTCGTCAACATACCCGCCAAAAAGGGCACAGCTAAAGCTATTAGTAAAGGGCTGAAAGCTCTCTCGACAACCTATAAGCAACGAGGTATCAAGCCAAGTACAAAGCATAAATTGGAATGGATCAAGATACTTCATTCCCCATCTGGAACCTCGACTGGACGTCACCGGAAGGAATAGCCGCAAGCTGATACTGTTGGGCGTGAACCCACAACTTCCTATTCATCTATCAACCACCCTGGGGAGGGATGAAAAATGAGAGAATAAAGAATAGAGAGGTGTAAATCGAGAGAAAAGTGAGGAAAAGAGTCTTGAGAGAAAAACTGAGCCTGAGGGCCGAATGATGTGAGAACCACAAATAAGAAAGGGTGGGAAACGATACCCGGAGAAACTGGCTCCTCGTGATCTGAGGTCCCCCGTCTCCATTGACGCATCTGTATGTCGCGTCTTTTGTTTTGTCTACCTCAACTCTTGTTTTGAGTCTGTTCCGAGCGTGTTTCGTTATGTTTAGGTAGTCTACCTTTCTGCTTTCGCTGTTGAGTCTTTTTCACGGTGTTCAGTTGTAGGCTCAATACCCCGGTTTAAGAAACCCTTCTTCAATTTCAAAAATTAATCATTTTCTGCTCAGAATGCTGTGCCATTCTCCACATTTGCGCAAAAACATGATTTGGTTCTTTCATACAACTGCAGGGTCCACCCCCAGTAAGTATGAACTGGAAAACCTAGGCCTCTTTGAAGCTTCTGGGTTTCAGATCGCATCCGAGTGTGCTTTAACTTCAGTAGATTCAACCTTCATGGTCTGTCTTGTCAGAATCGGGCTGTTTGTTCAGGATCCGCTGTGTGCAAAATGAATCAAGCGCTGTGTTATGAATTGCATGCAGATTAATCCCCAGTAGAGTATGGGCTGAGTATTCGGAATGAGCAGTGGTTGGTATTGGTTGTTTTGCAGTTGACTGGTTCGTTATCTGATTATTACAATGCAAGTGTTCAATTTTCAGACAACAGATCAATTTCATTTACATTGAGGTGCAACATGATGCCATGCGATGCAATATATGAACTGTACAAATGCAACACTTTTTTTTTATAAAAGTTTGTTTCATTTCATCATCTTTTTCAAGTACATAGTTTTGAAAACAAAAAACCTACCTACGGCAGTACAAAGGTACTCTAGCTACCAGCAAAAAGTACAAAAAGAAAGAGGAAAAGAAAAATAGCAAAAATCTGGATCATTGACAAAGGATCTCAGGCCTGGGAGTCCATCCTAGTCCTCTTCTTGGACGAAGGTCCAGGAGCATTATCAGCGCTGTCATCTGAGCCCGAGTTCGAGCTGTCTCCGGTCTCCTCCTCCAACGACTCTGCCTCCGCCTCCACCTCCGATTCCTCGTCATCGCCATCAGGGACTGGAGCTCGCGAGCTACTCCCGACGTGAGTGCGCCCCGTCTTGGTGAGGGGGAATACTTTGCCCTCTCCATCTCCTCCGGCAGGAACAGAAGGCCTGGCTAGAACACCTTCCACAGTGGGAATCTGGAAAGGAGGCTGAAAAGTATAAGAGGCAAACGCATCAGTATGCCGTGAGCAGTTTATCAGTGTAGAATGTAGTGTATAAGTACAGTGTGCGAATGTCGTGAGCAGTTTATCAGTGTAGAATGCAGTGTATGAGTACAGTGTATGAATGCCGTGAGCAGCTTATCAAGTGTTGTGTTGTGCACCGGATTATGTGAAGTAGCTTATGTGTATGGTTTGAGACCGTGATCAGAAGAACATACCAGAATGCTATAGAGGGCCAGGAGGTCGAAAGTTCGCTACAACATCTCCATCATGGAGGCATTCAGCTCCAAGGACTGCCGGGTATACTCGGAAGAAGCCTGCAAAAGTATCAGATGCATCAGTATTCTGCGGAATATCAAATAAACTGAAATGAAATGCCAATACAAGATGCATAAAATGTAGTAATACATACCGGAGGCAAGTCATGGAAACCGACCAACTCATGGTCAGCCGGAGGAGGAGCAAGGGGGATCTGGTAGGTCGCTCCACCTTACCCTCTGTATGTCAGTGAAGTGGGCAGTGCAAGCCAGCCACCCCCCCGCCCTCTCTGAACTCCACCTCTGCCGCAGACCCGAGCTCTCCTCGATGCTCCTGCCCCAGCCCCCGCTCCTGCCCTAGCTGCCGGCGTCGCAGGCCTCTCTCCCTCAACTCGACGGCCGCTGCTCAGAGGCTGCATAACATACGTTTGCACGTACTCTCTGTAGTCTCCTATGCCTCTGAAGCGGGTCGCATCCCAGCCGATCGTGTAGTCGGCCATCTGCTCGGCGGTGAACCTCTCGGTATCCCTCATATGCCCAGGAGGGTGAACCGGGACTATCTGCTCTGGTAACCCTAGGGTCTGGCGTAGGAAACGCTCACCCAGGTACCAAGCCCGATAGACCGGGCCCTCCAGCAAAATTCAGAAACGTGAGGTCTCCTCAACATCGGCAAACCGATCCCGAATCACGGCTGGCAATGGAGCCCAAGGCTGCCAGGTGATCTGAAAATGAAATATAGAATGTTATCTACTATTATTGACAATACAGTGTAAAGCGAAGCTTAAATGAACTGCAAGTAAAACATACCTCTGCGGGAGTGATGGTGTCAAAATAGCGGCGGAAGAAGCTAAACGTCTCCCGAGGCCTTCGCACGCACCTCCCGTCGAAATGGCGCGAAAATGGAACGACGAGAGGGGTCTCCGTATCTGGCACGGGGGCGAGTCTCGGAAAGTAGGCGTAGACCCATAACTGCAGAATAAATCCCAATATGCTTATCAGATAAAGTAGAATACAGAATAAAGCAGAGATAGCAGAGCCGTGTGCAGTGTATTGAGCAGAGTGTACAGTGTGAGTAGTGTACAATCAGTGTAAAGCAGAGTATGTGTGTGCCGTGTGTACAGTATACAGTCAGTGTAAAGCAGACCACAGTGTGTGCGGTGTACAGAGTACAGTACAGAGTACAGATAATAGAAAGCAGAAATGAAATGTTAAGAAGAAAAAGAAAACATACCTCCCAAGTGCGCCAATAACCCCCGAGCAACTGTCCACTGCCACGGGATGCTGAGCTCATGTAGCCGTAAAGTGTAGCTAGTGCGGCGCCACCCCAGTCATAGCGCAGGATCTGTGTGACATCCACTAAAGCGCTGAGCAAGCAGAGAGGCACGGTATTCGCCCGGTCGGCGAAAATAGTCATCCCCAGCAAAAACATCAGAAAGCCGCGGGCGTACCGCTCCACCGCCTCCTGGGTCATCAGAGCCTCCTCGGTCAAAGCTGACTGGACCCTGAACTGGACCTCGAACCAGGAATATCGGACGAAGCCGGGACGTGCGAGAGGTGGCACCTCGCCAAGCAAATATGTCTGAGCGGCCTCCCACTCGTCTATGTCGGTATCAAAGGGGATCGGATCACCTCCTATCCTGATGCCGGTGAGTATCGAGAAGTCGTAGGGAGTCATCGTCATGTCTCCCGTAGCAGAGAAGTGGAAGGAATCGGTGGTGTCCCACCACCTCTCCGCTAGAGCGGCGAGGAGAGGCCTGCTCGTGGTAAGTCTGGATAGTCCTCTGCAGAATGTGCCGAAGCCGGCCTGATCTACGATGTGGCGAACCGCATCGGGTAGCTCAGCGTACCAGTCTCGGGCGACGATGTTCCCATACTCCCGGATGGTATGGGAATCTCCCTATTTTCAAACAAACAATTGCGAAGCGATGCTAAATATACCAGTTTTGAAAGGCATTCAGAATTCAGGCAAATATAACATGTGTGCGTGTTTTCAGATTCAAACAACTATCGATTGCCCGTGTGCTTACAGTGAACTACAACGTGTGATGTGTCAGCATGTTTGAGTGGTTCAGTACAGATATAGCGTGTGTGCACGTGTTCAGATTCAAATAGGTACCGAATGCTGGTGTGCTCGCAGTGAACTACAACATGTGATGTGCCAGCGTGTTTGAGTGGTTCAAGGAAAATGCAGTGTGTGTGCACGTGTCAGTTTCAAACAGATATCAGTTGCAAGTGTGTTCACAGGTAACTACAGTATACAGTACATCAGTGTATCTGAGCTAAACAGTTAAAGAATATAATCAGCTATGGCAGTTGGCGGTTAAGTGTTCTACGTTGCGGAAAGTAAAACAGAGGAAGGAATGTTACCTCGGAAGCGCCGAAGGACAGATGAGATGTAGGCTCACGTAAGAGAAGCTCTGGAGGCATCGCCCTATCAAAGCTCCGAAACTGGCGAAGTCCGTCGGGAGGCAAGACGTGGATCGCCGGCCGGTAGGTCGCCGGGTCGAACGGGCGGACGCTCAAGGGGAGGAGCTCGGCCTCTGGGTCCACCTCATGATCCGGGGGAGTCCCGTCCCGTGGAATATCATCCTCCATGTCAAAGGTGGTGTGAAAATGACCGGGAAAGTGAAAACAGGGCTAGAATGCGAAAGGTCAACAAAAAGTCAACCCCGAGAGGGTGAAAAATGGCCGGAAAAGCCGAAATGTGGAAAATGTGATGAAATCAAGAAAAACTTGGGAGAAACAAACCCTAAGAGGCGGAAATCGAAAAAACTACACCGAAACGAAGTTTCGATCGGATGAAAGTGTTCGAAACGCGATGAACTTCACGAATCAAACAACTAAATGGGCCCTAAAACCGAGGAAAGCGGCGAATGGGAGAGAGGAAAATACTCTAGAGAGAGGGGGGATGAAATTTCGGCTAGAGGGAAGTAAGAAAATAGGGTTTTGAAACCCTATTTTAAAAGACCCAAGGCGAAAAGTCAAAACTGCCCCGATTCAGCAACATTTGTCCGGTCGGCTACATTTTTGGCCGGTCGGCCAAATATTTGGCCGGTGAGATGTTTTGATGGCCGGTGGATGGCCGGTGACCTCCCCTGATGGCCGGTGAGCCTCCTATAACCTTGTTTGGGTCAGATGTATAGTTTGGGGCATTTATTTCTCAAGATAGTGCAAGACAGTGCCTTTCCGGAGCTCAACCGGCCTCCGTTTTGACCTCGGATTGTGTCTTCTGTGCATGGCACTCGAATATGTGCAAGGTGTATCCTTTTTGTATCCTTTTGTCTTTTTTAAGATTCGAAAGTTGCCCCACATACGTTGTTTTGCAAACACGTGTTGAGTTATACGTCATTATGCTTGCATTCTTATGCATTCGCCATGGTCTGGCGAGACCTTAAATACGCTCGGTCTAGGAGAGCTTAAATCCTCTGAAGGTGCAAGTCCTTCGGTGTTTGTCGTGCCCGAACGACTTTTGGTAAGTTGCATTGTACATGTATTTCAAGCGACTCGCGTCGTCGCATATTCAAGTTCACATGCATTATCATGCATTTCAAGCGATGCGCGTCGTCGCGCATTTGAGTTCATAAGCATTTCGAGCGACACACGTGGTCGCACATTCAAGATCATTTGCATTGTCATGCATATCACAAGACGTGCGTTGTCACGCGTTTACATCAGCATGCATCAACATGCATTTCAAACAAAACCAAAAAAACAAAAAAAAAAAACAACATGCATATGTCATGCATTTCATTGTAATATATTGCATATGTCATGCATCCCACTATATTCATTCCATTACATATTGTAGATGTTGCATTGTAGCTTGCATGCATTCATTGCATCACCTCCATCTAGGGTTTGCGCCTTTCCTTGTTGAGCTTGGACTGGTATGTGCCCATACTTTTCACGTCTATACACTCATAGTTCTGTATGACCATTCTATGTTAGACGTGGCTTGTTTGTGTCCATGCCTTTCCTAGGCAAGATACGGTTTGGCCATAGGCGTTAATCCACTATATCCATTCCATTGCATATTGTAGATGTTGCATTGTAGCTTGCATGCATTCATTGCATCACTTCCATCTAGGGTTTGCACCTTTCCTTGTTGAGCTTGGTCTAGTATGTGCCCATACTTTTCACGTCTATACACCCATAGTTCTGAATGACCGTTCTATGTTAGACATGGTTTGTTTGTGTCCATGCCTTTCCTAGGCAAGATTTGGTTTGGCCCGCGCGCCATATCCATCATACATATTACATTATAGTGTAATTTTTGCATCCTGTATTAGGATCATGTTCTTTCGTTAGCGGATCATTCCCCACTTATGTCATTCCACCCAATTACTTGTTCTTGCGTCCGTCTACATCACTCATAGTTCTGCATGTGTACGCGATTTGAGGGTTGCGGCACCTTTTCTATGGTAGACGGACTTGTTACCTCCATCAATCTATTTGACATTCGTGTGGTTTTGAACCACTCATGATTGGATCATGATTTAATTACATTGCATTTTCTTTTGCATTATTATATATAGTTTTGTATATATTGCATATCATTTTGCATTGTTATGCATGTTGCTAACAATATTGTACCTGTTAAGTTTGCTTTCTTTTCAGGCACAACATGGTATGTACGGTTCATTTGAGGCTGGTGCAACCAGACGAACCGGACATGTATTGTATCCTCTGCGTGAGACGTATTGAGAATTGCATAATTCTCTTACATCCTTTCTGCATTGTA